ATATCTTAACTCGGTTTGCTCCATTTCACATCTTGATAAAACCTTTGATTTTCAGATTGCATGTAACGTACCAGTGATGTCAATCTTGTGTGAAATGCCAACAGAAGTGAGTTCCTTGGAGATGACTTTGGTTGCTTCCTCGAACTGTTGGTTCTGAACAAGCGGGAAAACAGTGCATTTGATGGGCGCAACAAGAGGAGGGAACCGGAAGACGTTCAACTGCTCGTCTCCTGCTTTGCTCGGCCTTGTGCTGAAGCAATGCTCGTACAGGCAGTAGATGATCCGACCGATACCAAATGATGGCTCGATCACTGATGGAGTGAAAACCCGCTGGTGCTCTTTCTTTTTCTCCTTTGAGATCGACACCATATTCTTCTTGATGCTCACTTTTTTCCCGAGTGTACACACGTAGAATTCCACTTCCCCGTTTGATTCCAGAGTTGCTTTCATCTCCATAGCTTCTTGCTCATTCATCGCCTGACAAACATTACACAAAGCATGTTGTTTTATTATAAAACCAGTACCACCACAAGACAAAGAAGCTTCTTAGTTAGATGATGAAGTATTTCACTCTACCTCCAATGATTCAGACACATTCTTTTGATCTTTCTTGAATGCAAGGCCCAGTTCTTTCTTGACAGGAGTAATAACAAGTTTCTGAAATAAAAGAGAACCATGTTAAGATCTTAAAGACAGGTTTTTGAAGGACAAGTTTCTGAGAATTTTGACTGGAATACCTCTACTATTTTAGGTTCTGAAAATTTCTCTTCAGCAACAAGATCAACGCCACTTTTTTCCTGCCATGCAACACCACAATCTATTTTAGCAAGTTTAAACAGGAATACTTACGGGGTTTAATCATTAACTATCTAGCTGTCAAATGAAATCATGAAGTAAGGTAAATTTCCTACCGAGTGAGCGCGTAAGTCATATGCAGATCTATCTGCAATCCCCACACATTCAATCCACCCGTATGAACTCTCAATCTCCGCATCCCAGCAATCTGCTGCGTAGTGGGCCATCTCGTTCGCTAGATGCTGGCGGAAACGGAGCCGCCCCTTGTCTATCCCGAGACGAACAAGGAAGAGATATACTCTTCCAATGAAATACCCTAGGGTTTCATTGTTAACCGTTCCCTGTTCCAATACATTTTTCCAGTTGCAGTCATCAATAAGAAATAATATAAAAAAAGGCATGTAATAGAATTAAGTAGGCAAATATTACAAATACTGACCTTGGCAACAGCTTCACCAAGGCAAAGTTTCTTTGCAGATTGGCCAGACATTTGCTCTTCTCTTGGAAACATAAGGAATTCCAATTCCGCTACATCAGGGAATTTGGGATGTGACTTATTCTCAGGATCAACAAAGTGCTCAATTTCTGCCAGCGTGAATTCACGAACTCTAAGAAGCCCTTGACGAGGAGATATCTGCGAGTAATATGCAATATGTAACATGCTACTTAATCTAACCCAAACATAATAGAAAAAAGTCCCTTAAAGATGATTGAGATAAACATATCCAATCTATCGAATATATCAAATCACAGCAGTAGAAAATCAAAGGATAACTACCTCATTTCTAAAGGCTTGACCAATTTGAGCTGCAGCAAANGGAAGCTTTCTCCCATTGTAATAATACAAGTCCTTAAAGTTCACAAAAATGCCCTGTGCAGTTTCAGGACGCATGTAACTGAAACACAGAAAGAAACTTGATAAGAACTCATGAAAGAATGGACTTGATAAGAACTCATGAAAGAATCTAGTTCAGGCAAGACCATAACATGAAAAGTACTCACCCTGGAATCAAACCAGATGGGCCAATCGATGTTTGAAACATCAGATTAAACGGGTAAGGATCAGAAAGTGGGTTCTTCGTGTCTGGAGCAGTGATCTCATACTTTCTGATCCTAGCACCAAGCTCTTCAGGAGAATAATCTTCCATAACAGCAAGAACTTCTTTCAATTCAGCAGCTGTATCAGCAGAGATGGTAAGATCTTTCTCCAGCTTCTCATTGCAATAATCCTTGAGCAAATGGTCCGCACGGTAACAAGTTCCAGTCTTCTCGTCTTTAACCATGAGATCAGTGAACTTATCAACATGCCCAGATGCCTTAAGAACAACTTCTGGTGTTACACATGGACAATCAACCTCAAGCATGTTCTCTTCAAGAATGAAGTGCTGCAAATATAACAAAACAAATCAAATCCGTGTATAAGAACAAAAGCTAACACAATCTCGAATCGAAAATTGAATTGATCAAGAGAATGAATCCTTACTTGACGCCAAAAGCTAAGGACATTGGATTTCACAGCACAACCAGGAGGACCGTAATCGAAGAGTCCAGCAACACCACGGTAGATCTTAAAAGAAGGTATGTAGAACAATCGACGTTCGAGAGTATTGACGACGGCTTGTCGAAAAGCTTCACGGTTAAGCGAACCGTTACCGGAGCTGCTACTGCTGCTGATGGTTAATTGGAGTTGTTTCTCGACGGCGGATTTCTCAAGCTTCAATTTGTTGAGTAGATCAATGGCGGCGTCGATGTCTGGCTTCGCTGCGCGTGCGGCTTTGAGAGCGCGTACGGCGTTTCCCTGAGCTTCGACGGAGGAGGATTTCTCCGATAGAGACTGACGAAGAGATTGTTCGGTACCGTCCATCGGAATCTGGATCGAGGAGATGGGTTCGTGACGGATCGAAGAGGATTGGAATCGACGAAGAGTGAAGATTTGTTTGCGAGGAAAGACGAAGGCAGATAAGAAAAGGCGCATTCGGCTCAACCACAGTAGTCTAGGGTTTATGATGATAATGTGAACACTTTGGGCCGAAACAGTGGGTTTGGGTTTACCAA